CCGGTGACGTCAGCGTACGTACGTACGCATTCTTCTCTTTCGTGCCCAAAACGGGAGCACTCCGAGCACTTCGACACGCGACAGTCGCGCCTAATGTGCCCGAAGCGCTTGAACCGCAAACAGACCGGAACTCTTCCCGGGATGACGATGAGGGTATTCGTACCTTGAAGACGAAGTTGATGGGGCATCCCCTCGGGCGCGGTGTTCTTCTTCAAGGTCATGCGGACGAATCGGGTGGTGCATTCAATGCCCTCAAAACCGCTGACGCGCCACTTCTCGCGTCCAACTTTTCCCACTTTCCCGTACGGCTCAAAAAGCTTCGGAACCGCGTCGTCCGCTACTCGGAATGGCACCCAGTGGATGCGTAGGCGGATCTCGGTGGAACCAGGATCAATGACGAGGCAATGGGCGCGTTCAGTAGTGCCTCCCTTGCCTCCGAACGGTGTGACTCGAATCGGACTCATCGGAGCGCCCACTGAACGGCAAAAAAACCCGCGGCTCCAAACCTGCTTCTACGCAATTTCCGCTTCCTCCCCTGTGCCAGACGGTCTCCGAATAAACTGGAAGCAGACGATGGCGAGCACGATCGCTTTTATTTCACGCCGGTATTGAAGAAGTCTTTACACGGTCGTTGAAGAAAAAGCGGGTGATTGCACACATCAGCGCTGCTGTTCGAAGCGATGCAACGCGATCGACCCCTTCGCTTGGCGGTGCAAATGCAGCTTCTGTTATAAAAACCGACAAAAACGTATCGCAACCGGCGAATCTACGCCGTCGGTTGCGATAATTTTATATGGCCATACGTTTGTTCTGCCCTTCGTAACGAACTTCCTATAAAATGTATTCGTATACACACGGGAAGTTCAGCCGCGCTCGGCGATCAAGGTTGTGTCGGCCGAAGCGAGCCTCGGCCAACGTGCACCCCGATTTAGCTACGCAAACAAAACATTAATCGGTATCATGCTCTGCGTGAGTGTCCAACCGGCTTCCAAGGTCGCGTTCATACCCTGCCCTGCTCTGTCGAGCGCGGACAGGACTATCGTCAATACTACCGAGTTTCCGTGCAACGGCGATGAAGACACGGCGTCAAATGAACGTTTACGTTGTTTATTAGCGTATTCAAACCAAACACAATACGGTCCAATGCATTTCCGAAAGAGCCTTACCTCAAAAAGAAATTTGAAAGCGTTATTCGTCTTACCTTGAGCACTTTTCATTAACAAAAGCGAGCAAACCGCACACCCGCGACAGAACCAAAGCAGCCTATCCCGCCATTTTGTTTGTCTTTTTTCCCTTTTAGCGCCGGAAATCGTCACCAGTCAGAAAATGACGTCATTTTAGCTCCTTTGACTCTACTTGCACCGTCTCCGGACTCGGTGCTTCGGAGATTAACTCAGAAGCCTCGGAGTTACGTGCACCGGAAGTGACTTTTGGCCGTCCAGTGGAAGGAGTCAGTGACTCCTTGACTCCGGGGCCGCTACTGAACGCGCCCAATGAAGGCCTTTCACCTTGATCTCTTTGTAGCTCAGGAGCCGTTCTTTTGCTTCCGGGGATGACTCGGCCACGCAGGCGCTCGCTCGCCGACGCAGATGCGTGGCAATATGAGCAAACGCATAAATGTGTGGACGTAGATGGCGGATAAGTAAGAGGATTTTTTTTCCGCTATAGATAGGCAGAAAGAAGAAAGCGCCGAAAACGGGTGCTAAAGATTTTTTTGTGCGTTAGTTCTTTTTATGCGACGCCTTCTGGACTAGTTTGAGGCAAAACAATTCGAGTTGTCAAAGCGCTTTTAAGAGCGAATGTGGGATATGCATGTATCACTTCTCCCTCAGAAATATAGCTATATATGTTCTCTACTGTAGAAAAGGGCAGACGGGTCTCACCCTTACCTAAGCTCGGCGCAAACTTATTTATTTTATGCTGTCAAAGTCAGTATATCTTCCACCGTGCTGATGCGGAGTAGTATTGCGAGAGCACGCTTCCTCTCGCGCTCACTCGCGCGCCCTTTTCTGTGAAAAAGGATGCTAAATTAACCCACGAAAAAAGATTTCAAAGCGTCGAAGCCCTTGATAAAAAAGCACACAAATCAAGTATACTAACTGCACATTTATAAAACAAAGAAGTTCACCTCACGTAGATTTTTAGCATACTTAAGTTTACGTTAAATATACTTCTAGTGTACTCCAACGTTTAGTGTATACGGTTCACGCTTCGACCCTTTTTGGAAAATAGGGTGTTTATATAAGCAAGATACAAATAAATCTTAAGCATTTCTAGTTTGCTATTTTGCTCTATTTTAAGTTTTCTATATTATTTGTTGTATATATATTTTACTATATAATTTGTTATATTTCGCGAACTGTTCAATAAAAGAAAAACATTTACCTACTTTAAGGTAAACCTTTTTAATAAATGAGTATCCCAGAAACTACACTAACCTCGACAAGGTGGCATCACAAAAAAAAAAAAAAATAGATGAGAGAGTTTTAGTAGATCGTATTTTCATGCCACGATAATTGAAATGGGAGCACTCGCACCGATTCGATGCATGCTCTGAAGCGCGCGCCCGCAGCGGTAGCGTTCCTTTGAAAACGATCTACTAAAACTCCCTATAATTGCCGAGTACGGAATAATAAACCGCTCTGTGCAGCATTTCTGTGTAGTTGCTACACGGCGCAAACCAAGGGTTGTCAGTGTTTCCTTGTGAATATTATATTTTGTTTGATCGTTTTCGTTTTAAGAGGCTTCGTGCCTTATAATATAATTGGGGGCTCAGAGCACGACAAGCCGTTCTGTGTTGCCTTTATTCAATACAGCCACCACAGCATAAATTAGGACATCAACTTATTATTCGAGATACGTTCTTGAGCTTGGCAATGGGAAGCTGCCCAAGTAGCGCAAAATGAGAATCGGAAAGGGTGCCAACGGGGGCCCCTCGTCGGTTTTGCAACTCCGGCCCTAGTGGCGCCACCTTGGCAGCCCACCTGGGCTGCCTTGGGGGACCCACAGGGGTCCTATTTGGGCAGCTCAGATGGGTTCCCCTCGTGGGACTCTCAGTGTGACTTCTTGGGCAGCCCACAAGGGCCTTCATCGTGGGGTCAAAGGGGACATAGATGGGAAGTGAACGTGTGCCCTCCCTCCCCCCCACCCCCCCCCCCCCCATTGTGGGGGGGGGGGGGGGGGTTTGCGATGGCAGGCCTGCGATGGCAGGCAACACGTGGTCCCCCCGTAAATCTAGTATTGTTCACGGTACTTTGCTCATTTTCCTATGGTGTGGGGTATTACAGCTAGTACATCCCAAATTCAACATGCCTCCCTTTTATCATGTGCATTCTGAAAGTATTTTGGTTTTGATTGATCAAGGAAACGTCTTGGGCAAGACCATAAAACCTGGGCATTTTAAGTGTACAAAATGGAACAAAACATCTGCACGTTCCCATAGAAAATCCTGTTTGACAGGCATAAAGATGCATAGCCAGTTTGAGCCAGCTACAGACATACGACACTCCGATGAGCGTGTTTGGAAATCACCCTTAAATTAACTGCTCTTCGTAAAAAAATACACCCCCTGTAGTTTGAAGGCATAAACATTTTTTTTTCTCATTACTAAGGTTCAAGTCCCGGATGATTTAATATTAACTAAAGCCATCAGCATATCAACTTAATAGCTGAATCAGGGCTCCCGCTTCTTTGCAGTCGTCGCCGCATTACCAGCGTCTGCTTGTTTAACCCTTTGCCTACCGCAAAACTTTTGAAAAAAACGATTTAAAATACCGAACCTTTTATGTGCCCTATAAATTTAATATGCAGTACAAAGGCGAAATGCAAATGCCAAAATATTTATTATATGAAAAATCTTTGAGGACACTGCAAAGGAAAAGGTACTAAAATTTCGCTCCACTGCATTGCCGCAAACAGTTCACATCGCCTTGCACATGAACGTTCAGGCCGGGCGTAGCGGTACTCCAGACAGTTCACATCCCATTGCACTCAAAGTGAACGCAAAACCTGGAGGGGCTGGCGGGGGATTTTTTTCATTGATTCTAGTCCATGCCGACCCGCCGACACTGTCCTCCTCAAAATCGGAGTCGTCTGAGCTCAAATCCAATAACTTGCATTTCTCTCGCTGTTCGATGAAAGATTCATTTCCTCGGCTTCTGAATCTGAAAAGACGTCATAGTATCTTCGTTTTTGCCCCTATTTCGAGGCAAGATCGTCGCTACGAACGCAGCGACCAGAAGTTGACGTCGCCCTGTTGCCTGTGTTGGAACAATTTTCTGCCAAATTCAGACATTTACCAGGTTCTCATTTCTCGTGAAGCGCCATCTATCCACGACAAAGCACACGTCGACTAACCCAGTTCGTCCATGCAACGGCGGTCCATGGTAGCGTATTGGAGCTCGAATCAAGGTGGACGAGCCCGGCTCGTCTTCGGTGGGGGGGTGGGGGGGGGGGGGGGGGGGGCGGTACAAACCGTGTGGGCGAACTCAGGTTGTCCATGGTAGGAAAAGGGTTAATAAGTTTTTTTTCATTCGCCACTTTGTCAATCACCCTATAGTTTACCCCCGCACGCACATCGCAGCGCACAGGTCATTCACAACAAGTAGCCCGCCCAAGCACCCGCACTAATACCTTTTCTGCTTAATTTTTTCCCCAAGCAGCTCTGAACTGTAACTGCCTTTCGCAGGACACTTTTGTAATCACTTGCGCATCAACATTCATGGATAATGTAACAGCACATGTTTAGCTTTAAAATTGTTTGGCATCCATGCGTACCCCATTTATGTACCAACCCCTTACGTAATACCCCTCCGGCGGTCTTTAAAGTAATAAAATGAAAGGGAGTTAAACGGACAAAGCCCCGCATGAATTGCGAACCGTTGTACTTTTTTTCTTACATTGTAATATAACTTCGATCATTCTGGACATCTAGACACAACTTTGCAGAAATGCAATCCTCAGTGTATGTTGATGTTTTATTTTCCCTTTTCACATTACAGATTGAATGGCTCAAACTATTAAATCATGAGTTTGCACTGGCCAATATGACACTCAATGAGAGCGAACGCGTGATTGTATTCGAGACTGATTATGTTCAAGATATTGAGAATATTCTGGAAAAAGCAAATGTGTAAGTCAGTGCATACGATTATATTATTATCATATTTAGATATCACAAAACTAGGTGCAAACAAGATTTGTTCAACTTCTCCCTAGGTTTATAAACATTTTAAGGTGTGCAACATTCAAAACTATTAAAAACCTTTACACTTAAGACCTTATAGTGCATGGAATGCAATACCGATCGTTTAAATTTCTTTAGAAGACGTTAGGCCGCCATTTATGAAAGTGAAGACAAAAACAAGACGTTCTTTCACCACAAACCTTTAGCGATACTCTGCGTTTCCAGACGCCAGACGCCTACGTTCACGGCGCTCTTCACCAAATTATTTAAACCGTGGTATGCGTACACTCGATAGTTGTCCCTTGACGGGCTCACCGCTTCTTCTTCGCTGCCTGCGAGCGTCCTACGTGACAGAATTTTCTATCCGAATTCGTCTACGTGACAGCTACATGTAATCGCTGTCACGTAATGTGAATGTCCCGCTAAATTTGGCACGGAAGCAGATTTGGTGTATAGGTCACATTACATCAGGACACGTGATAACAATTTCCCTGCTAAACTTAGTGGGGAAACTGAATTGCTGTGTAAGTCACGTCACAGTATTTTTTCGCTAAATTTAAAATGAACTAAATTGAATTGCCATATAGGTCACGTGATATCAGATCACGTGACGTTAATCTCCTCGCTAAATTTAGCGGGCGGAACTGAACTAGAGCGTAGGTCACGCTACGTCAATTATACCTCTGAATATAGCAGAAAAAGGGAATTCGTGTTTAGGTCACGTGATGTCAATTGATGTCCCGTGAGCAGATGTAACGCGATACATACACCAATTAAGTTTCCCCGTCAAAGTCGGCAGGCGAATTGGTGTCACGGGACCAAGTGACCTATATACCAATTCAGTTTTCCCCCTAAATTTGGGGGAAAATTGACTTCACGTAGCCTTACGTCACATGGCATATACACCAATTCCCTTTCTCTGGTAAATTTAGAGGGAAACTTGATGGCACGTGACGCGACTTCACGAGACCTATACACCAATTTAGTATTACCACTACATGTAGCGAAAAAATGACGTCACGTGACCGTCACGTGAAGTCCCGAAACGTCACGTGAACTGGGACTCTAATCTACACAGCGGGACTAAACGTGACTGGGTACCAGGGAGATCGCCGCCTTGCGCGATTGGTGAGCGCCGTGCCACTGGTGTCATGTGACGTATACCCCAAAATTAGCTTCCCTCTATAATTTGGCGGAATAATTCATGTTACGCGATCTAAATACCTTCCGTTTTTCCACTAAACTTAGGGTAAAATTGACGTCGCGTTACCTGACGAAACGTGCTCAATTCGTCCATAAAAATTCCCCACAAAATCTAGCAGGAAAATTAACGTCACGTGAGCTATAACTCAATTTAGTTTTCTCACTAAATTGAGCGCGGAGATTCACGCCACCTGACCTGTGCACCCCGTTTCCGCTCTCAGTGTAGCGGGAAAATTGATAAAAATAAAGGTTCTTTACTCCCCGAAGTTTAGTGGCTGCCAAATAATTTCAAACGCTCGCACCATAAATACTGCATTTCATGCATTATAGCATTTTGAAGATAAAGGTCACTACCAAGTTTTTCCAGAAAAGCGGTTGTGCAGGTGCTTCTCACGAAGCGACAAAAGCTTGAACTACAGGTAGATTCTGATTCCGAAAGCGCATTTGCGCTTCCTCGCAAGTCTTTTCCGCGACTCAGAGACGTCTTGGAGGAGCAGAAGAGGAAGCGCAACTCCAGGTCCGGACGGGAAGCGCAGTTTAAGCTTTCGCAGCTTTATGTCGTCCTTGTTTTAAAACAGGTCAATTATGCTATGAAAAAAAGCTTTGAGACGAACCGCTCGGAGAACCTGCTATTTGAGTTTATAAACATATGGTGCCAACAAAGAGTCAGCTGACCCTATTAGTGGAACACAGATCGTCAGCGAAAGCAATGGCATAAGAAAAGAGACGCCGATCATATTCATGTGCATGAAACTAAATGCACAAAAACATAACATCACCGAGGAAAAAACACATCGTATATACAAAATGAAAGACATTTACAACTCCCTCCAATGCCGAATTAGAGCGCAGCTCTTGAGGAGGAGCAGGGGAGGATACGGAGGGGACGGTGTGCCCCTTCTCCTCATCCGTACTTTCTCCTCCTCCCTCCTCATCTTCTCCTCCCATGCTCCTCGCTCCTTCCTCCTCCCCCTCTCCTCCTCTTCCCCTCACTTCTCCTTCCCTCCTTTCTCCTCTTCTTCCTCCCTAATTTTCCCCCTCCCATTCCCTCCTCCCCTCCTCCTTCCTCCTCCCCCTCCTTCTTCCTCCTCCCCCTCCCTTCACCCTCCTCCTCCCTCCAGAGCGGTGCATTATGGGATGTTTCTCATATTGCACCGCGCGGTTACACCGGCGCCGACGCCGCTCAAGCCGGAAACGGGCGCCTAAGAGCTGCGCTCTAAAAACCAAAGCCCCTAACGAAGGCAAAGTAAGGTAAGTACAAATCCTGAAAAAATGTTAATTGCGAACGAGTTAACAAATATGCACCGTATATTACTACCGGATGCTCCTAGGAGGATAGAATTCTGAACGGTCATACTTCAAAACAAAATAGGTGTTAATTTAAGATTAACACCCCACACTACGCAGTACAAATGAAGGGTATATTGTCACAAATGACAATGGATGAGGCTTCGAATCACTCAAGGAAACTAAAGGTTTAATGGGGCGAACTTGCGCCTGAAACAAACAAAAAAACAAAAAAGAATAAGGCGCCGGTGGTCGCGAAACAGCTGGATTGAGCGCAGTGGCGTAACTGACTCCGGCTGGCCACACAGAGGCCCCTATGTACAGGCGTGGGCTACTTGAACAGTCGTCGTAGAAGGCACGGTTCGCAGAGCATTGGGTCCTTGAATGTGCAACAGGGTTCTCGAATTTACTAGAACGCGACATTTTACAGAAATAATAAGGTGCGTCCGCTCTCAGGCATCGAACTTTAGCTCATTTTTGTCGGAGTCAAGCACGATTCCCGTACGGCCACGGGCGCGCTTACTCGGAGACGCGAGCGGCATTAAAACTCCTTTTAAAAACAGCACCGTCTCGATGCAAAGTGCAAGGAAGATATACAGAGCAAAATGAACAAAATAATGGGAAAATACGGAGACTGTAATGAACCGACCACTTCGGCCAAATCTCTCCTCCATGGGATCTGTTTGCAGTCAGCTCGGCGAGCCAGACGACTGTGACGTATGGCCTGTAGCGGGCTTAAATCGGTGCATGAGGTACACCAGCCTGTCCAATATTGTCGACGGATGCCGCACCCAGCCGAGTTCCGAGCGAGGATCCGGAGCGACGGCGAGAAGAGGACACCGGAAGCAGGGCAGACGGACTTTCAAGCCCAGGCCGACTTGCCGAGAGACGAATTCCGAAGAACATCCGGCGGCGCGACGACCAACGTTTATCGGCTGCAACCAAGAACAATAAAAGTGCGAGGCCGAAAGTATCGCGTTCGGAGTGGCGGCGATGAGTGCGATGCCAAAGATCTCACGTTCGGCGCGGTTGCGATCGGCAATGCGGCGCCCTCGTGCGTTTGCGCGTGACAGCGCAACGGTACGTGCCTCAGCGCCAACCATACCAAAAAAATTGGGTTGTGTGTGTGTGTTTATACAGCCTAGAACTTGGTCTGCCTCAACGACCGACGAGTCTCCCAGCTGTAGATAAGCAATTTAGCCAGTGCAGTACAACCGCTAGCCTGGGGTCTTTAACGTGCATCACGCAGAAGTGGTTCACGACCGCACGCCGGTACGATGCTCATCCAGTTCGAAACGGGCAGGGGTGGGGATGGAACCCAGGATCCCTGGGTTCTGCAGCGCGAGCTTTCGCTCCACGTGCTCCGAGCTGGTGTGAGCTAGTCCACTCAGCCACCGATCCCCCGCCAACCGTACCATTGTGTGTGCAGTGTGTGCGGATGCAGGAAAGAGTGGGTGCTCACGTCACTGCCATTGGTCAAAGAGCTGGGGGCGTGTGCACAGCGAACTCTTAGAAAAAGTGGCAGCGAACGGCCGTTAATCATCTTCTTGTTTTGGTTTTCTACTTGTACAAATGTAAATTAAACGTTTGTCGAAAAGTCACCCGGCTTCCGAGGCCCATCTTCCCGATGTCCGGGTCGGCACCTGACTCCTGCGGAGCCCGACAACAACGACTACCCTGGGTTCGCTACAAGACTGGTAAAACATAGTCCTATCAAGCGTAGCACGGGATCACAGCTTAGAGATTTATTGAGCGTGCGGCGTGAGGAGCACGACCTGGACGACTTTAAGTCGTGGTTGGTGACGTGATAATGTTCTGCGGTCTGGCATTATTCCGTAATTCATATCTGCCAGTCGACGAACTACTTTGTAGGGTCCCAAGTATCGTTTCAGGATTTTCTCGCTTAAGCCTCGGAGACGAATGCGTGTCCAGAACCACACCCTGTCTCCGGGTTGGAAGTGAACGCCCTGACGACAAAGGTTGTACCAGTGAGCGTCGACGCGCTGTTGGGCTTTCAACCGGAGCCTGAAAAGCTGTAGGACTTCCTCGGCCCGTTGAGTAATTATATCGGAGTGGCCGCTGTCGTCGTCATCAGGTTCGTGGGGCAGCGTTGCATCCAGCATCGTAGTTACTTTGCGACCATTGAGTAGCTGGAATGACCTGACTCCTGAAATTTCTTGCACCACCGTGTTGAAGACAAACGTGACGTGGGGTAAAACCTCGTCCCACGTCTTGTGCTGTATGTCGACATCAGTGTTGCGGAATGGGCACCCTCATTCAATTCCAATTCCATTCCGGGGAATTAAGGTTTTCAATAATTCAATTCCTTTCAACTCCTAAGAAGGGGGCCACTGGGCCCATTTCCACTCCTGGAATGGCTGGGTCGTTCCATTCCATTTCTCTGATTCCAAAACGTAAAAATTGGCTCTTGACAGCTACATTGTGTTGCCGGCATA